AATACTATGCGGCTGTAAAAAAGAAGGATCTTTTATCCTTTGGCACAGCATGGATGGAACTAAAAAGTATTATTGTAAGTGAAATAAACCAGTCAGAGAAAGACAAATACCACATGATCTCACTTATATGTGGAATATAATAAACAAAATAAACTGATGAACAAAATGGATCCAGACACATAGAAGAATGGAACAGACTGAGGCATCTCAGAGGGAAGGTGGGGGTGGGGAAAGGGTGGGGAGAGATTAATCAAAGAACTTATATGTTTATAAGCATAACCCATGGACACAGACATTGGTATGGGGAAAGCCTGGGGGTGGGATTGATGTGGGCTGGAGGGGATCAATGGCGATAAAAAGGGGACATCTAATATTTTCAGCAATAAAGATAAAGAAACTTAAAAAATTCTAAACTTCATACATCTTAAAATTAACAGGGACGATTAGTAGGATAGTACTTGGTTTTGTTGTGTTTCACCTCCTTGACCCCAACAAAAAGCTGTTACTGAACTGATAGTAAGGCTTACACTTTGGCAACTTTTAATTTAGAAAAAATTGAACTATATTTTAAAAAGAAAACAAGGAAATGTTATTGCATACATTTTCTTGGTAGCAACAGAAACTGATTAATTACGGGGGATACAGAAGCCATTTGCTGAGAGCAGAGCAGGGTATGTAATTTGCATAGAAGAGGCAGCAGATTGTATATGCCCTGACCTGTCAAACACAGGTAGGATCTTGGAGATAATGGGTCCCAGGGTGCAAAGCTCCATTTTTATCCAGACGGACATACAACATGGAAAGGTCAGATGGATTAAATGAGACAAAAACGCTAGCTTCTGCCTTCTTCATGGGAAGAAAGTAAGTGTTACAGAAGATGACAGACACCAGATACCACAGGGATCCTGCCCCAGTTTCTTGGCCCCCAGTGCTGTGTCAATGCCATGATTTCAACACTGCTGAGAAAAGGCAAGCCTGTTTAGAGGCATGAAATATAGCCACTGGGGAGATGCTCAACCCAAGTGACAAGAGCAATCAATGGTGCCCATGCCTAAGATGAAAAGGGCTCAGTGAGGGAAGAAAACAAATAAGTCTGTCCACACCATCCAGCCTAGTCTCCCTCCTTACGCAGCTTTCCAACAACAGCCCCTCCCCATCCCAGTGTTTCCAGGGTGCACTGAATGCATCCTTACAGGACATCCTGGGTAACAAAAAATGCTCTCCTCAGACAGTGGTCCTCTTTTCAAAGCAACATTCAATAGTGGTTGGCATTTTCATTTCAACAGGCGGCTGCAGCTGAATCATACCACCTTACAAGAAAGCACCCTCTGCCAGAGTCCCACAGAGCACAGACAATGGCAGGATGCTGGACACACAGCAAGGGTCAGAGATGCAAGGCGGGGATGCAGGAGTACAACCAGAAATGAGAATGCAGATTCTGGGAAGGCCCAGCAACAGGAAATGTGCTATGAGAATCCACAAGCCAGGCTCTGAAAAGGAAGAGCTAGCTGAGCTGACTTCTTTCTCATGACTGGGGCCATAAAACACCTTCCTCTTTCTAGTCACATGTAAAGGTGACAGTCTAATGACCATCACAATAACACAAGCCTTGACAGATTATAGACATATATTTTCTATATAATATATACAGGAAAGGTGTGTGTGTGTGTATATATACATTTTTTGGAAAAAAAAAACAGTTTGCTGAGGTATTGAGGTCAGGGACATGCAGTTCCAGTGTGGGGCACAAACAGGAACAGCAAAGTGTCAGGACCATCCCACTCACTGCATTCTGAAAGTGCCCCCCTCTCTCCTCCTCTCTCCCTCTCTCAGGCACACAATGGTGCTAGTTACGTAGGAGCTTACTTACTGATATAACAAATATTCACTGAATCCTATGATTTGCCAAGCCTTGTGCTTGTTTCTGCAGGAATAAAACAGACATGGTGGTGTTTTCCTTCATGGCCTTACAGAGTGAGAGAGGATAGCAGGATGGATTTAGGGAGGTAACTGAACAGGTATACACAGAATTATGCAATATGAACACTAGAAGGGACCTACCTCAGAAACCATCTAAACCAGAGCTTTTCAAACTTTTTATGAATAACAGCAAACTACCTTTTATTTAATTAAAATTTACAAAGAACCACAATGTATTAAAAGTGATTAAACACCCCCCCCAACTGTCAAGGCAGAGAAGTGGTGATAGTGGG